GTTTATAACACCTTTTAATTGTCATAGTCACAAGCATAAATATAAGGATAAGCAGTCATAAGTTATAAGTTCTGGGCATGTGTATACAACTGGCTTAATGATATAGTCATAAGATTTTATCTTTTTTGATTTTAACAGATTAATGAGCATTCTGGAAGCAAATTTAACAATTTCAACCACGCTTTTTTAATATAAAAAAAAAGAAAAACTCACAGTACACAAAGTTGATTTAAATGGTTTATTGAGCACTTCAACAATAAACAGGATGATAGTATTGTAACACAGATGTGTTGTTAAATTGTAGGTTGTACATGTTGTCAATTAGTTGTCAAGTAGCAAGTTAAGTGACAGTTTTGACACAGAAACTTGTGCTCATTAGAAGGTTTTATAAATCCGAAACAAGTTATCAGAAATATTTAAGAAGGTTTCAAAAAAACTACGTATATATACGTATATATATAGTATTCATAGTTAATTGCCTTAACTGTTAGGAGAAAATAAACCTTGAATTTCTTTGGGTAGAAGGCAAAGTATTGCATAAGCACACTATTATAACTTAAACTCGAGCTTTCGATGGTCTATGCCATCATCGTCTGGAATAAGTCGGCGAGATTGTTGCTGAAATTGTTCTTAAACGACAGTGAAGGGAACACATAGTCGACGAACAAAAAACTGGACTGATGATTTTAGATTAGGACGGAATTATTTTATTAATAAATTGTAAATTTTAGCTATGTTTTATTTCATTTTAAAAGACTCTTTTAAACACTGATTGATTTGGAACAACTTGAAAAACTATCAACTATTGAAAGAAAAAACAAAACAAAATTTTTTATCAGTAGTTGATAGTTTTTCAAGTTCTTCCAAATCAATCAGTATTTAAAAGAATCTTTTAAAATAAAAAGAACAGATATGATTTGCCATTTAATAATAAAATAATTGCGTCCTAATCGAGCTTCATCAGTCCAGTTTTTTGTTCGTCGACTATGTGATCTCTTCACTGTCGTTTAAGAACAATTTCAGCAACAATCTCGCCGACTTACTCCAGACGATGATGGCATAGACCATCGAAAGCTCGAGTTTAAGTTATAATAGTGTGCGTATGCAATACTTTGCCTTGCACCCAAAGAAATTCAAGGATATATATATATATACTTCGAAGTTGAGTCATTTATTTTAACAGTGAGTAGATCTGATCAAAAGAAATGTTTTTTTCCTTTACCATTCTTCTGGTAAAATTAAAGTAACAAAGTTATAGCCCTTTGGAAGTTTGAGTACCGCCCTGTCTCAATGTGCTCGTGTTTGGCGACAACGGATATAATCCGCCGTATCGGTTCATCGCATCGGAAACAAAAAAGCGAAAGAATTTGGAACGATGTTTTTACATTGTTTCATTCATTTGTATACAGTCAGTATCAGTGAATAGTGATATCTGTTGTGTGGCTCAAACGAAATAAAAAATGGCACATGTTTATGCGGATCGGTTTCCAAATCGAGTGCAACCAACCCCTCGTGCCTTTGTTAATGTAGTACAACGGGCTCGTGAATCAGGTGACTTAAGACCTCACAGGGGACCTCACGATCAAATACAGGTCCGCACTGAAATACTTGTCGGGAGGATACTTTATAAAACAAGGTAAAAATTTTTTTTTATTTTTACACACATATTTTGGTTTATCTTCCTTCTACAATCATTATCTGAAAATTAATGACTCAACTTCAAAGTCACCCTGTATATATAATACATACGTGTTTCTAAAAATTTATTAGCCAATTTTAAAGAAAACTATGTTCAGTACTAGAAAGACTTACTTTGCATTGGGAGATTCAAATAAGGCACTCTAGAGGATGCAATGGGGAATATGCAGCACATATGCTTGCTTCAGTTCGCATCTCTTTCAGCTATCCGGAAATTTTCCAGAAAACTGGAAATCTGCTCATGTCTAACCCATCACAAAAAAAAGACTTAAGGCCGACCCTTAGAATTACAGACCTTTACCTCTGATTTCTGTCATAAGTAATCTGATGGAGAGGTATATAATTCTGGAGTTTCTGGAGTACCTTGAACGTTACGGCTTGATTAGCGACGGTATCAGCGATCCACGGGGGAGGCTCATATTGTTTCTCTTGATATCACGAAAGCGTTTGATCAGCTGTGGACGCTGCCCTCTTATGCAAGCTGCCATCTCATATCCTCCCAAAGAAGCTTTGAAAGATATCAAACGTAATTGTCGGGTTCTCCACTTCACCCTCCACAATATCAGTGCGGGTGTTCTCCAGGGATCGGTCTTGGCTAGGCTATTTGTTTAGGGCTGAGAAATAATTCTTCACATAACCTTGTCACTCTATACAATGCTCATATAACACCTAGCCTCGAGGGCTGCTCACATGTTTGTCATACTGACAGGTTGGTAATCGATGATAGCAAGAATGAAGGCCTACCATCTTAAACCTTCCAAAAACAAATAGTAGGGGGACCTTTTTGAAAAGCACGTATTGTGTCTTGCTTTACTGGAATGTTTTCTAAGGAAGGTTCGGTATTTTATCCACAATATTAGTGTGCTATTTTTTTCGTATGGTGGAAACATTATTCTTTTGCTTGTCTGTCTCCAAGGGCTCCTTACCTTTCATTTGACCGAATGAGTTCGAGGATATGACGATCAAAACTGTTTTCAGTGTATTTCAATGACAATAAAATACCTATAACAATACTCGTATAACTGAGAACTCACTAGCTATTTATTTCTCATAAAATGACATCGTATATCTGCACAAGGTATAGCAAAAGTATGTCCCCAACATTTTACTTAAATTCAGGGGTTGCTTCCATTTAATATTCGAGGTTAAACAGAAATGGCTTACCAGGAAAATACCTTTCCAGCTAGAAACGACCAGACCAGTTGTTGTTTTTATTTATTTTGCCATCCTGAACTTTGCTGAATTCCTTCCGAGAAGTATACATCTCTCTTCTTCTCCCTTCGAGAGAGCTTTATTTGAAATTAATGTCAGGACGTCCCCTGGGCAGTAGCGTATCACTTTAATACAGCAGGTCACCAGTACGCGTAAGTTAAAGAAGATATCAGTTTATCGGTTTGATCTGTAAAAGTATACCTTCATTTCTGATACGAATATAGTCTGAGACTACGAAATGTTCATGCTAACGGATACAAGTCCAAAGTCCGTTTTACCATTGATTAATGAAGATCTAAAGACAGCCAACCGAATGCGTGACTAATTTCCCAAATAAAATGAGATATCACTGGGTCATCTATGCGACTTTCTCTCAGCTGTTTCTCTATTTACTATATTATATACTTTGAAAATATAAGTGTCTCATGAATGGCGCTGTAAGCAACTCTTTTGCTTCTAGATGCTCATATAGATGGCGCCATATATGAAACAGTAACCTTTTCAAAATATTTATAGTACCTAAATAGAGAAACAGCTGTGAATTCTCATAGATGACGGTATCTCATTTTATCCCGGTTAATTTTATGGACGCGGGAATATATTATTTGGTTTTACCTTCAGGTAGAATATAATATAATCAATGGCATTCGAGTAAGGTGACGTACGTCTGGTGGATCTGGAGCAAAATTGTTCCTTTTAGTGATTCGATTCCTGTCTCGGAGTTGATTCTTTCAATCCATCCACAATATACCATCGGTACTAACGGGCGCTACAATGGAACGACATCGCAGAGGAATCGATTCTAACTTTAGGGAAAGTTTAACTGCGCTCAAAACGTTTTGAAGAGCGGGGATAGCCAATTTTCCCATGAAGAATGGTCCTAAAAATCCTCAGAATTGTACATGGCCCCCTGGCATCCCTTTGCTGGCGCCAGTGCCCATAGCGGTTCCTGTATTCCTATAGATAAGAAAATCGGGAAACATATCTCAGGTTGTACTGAATTGTAATTATCTATATGATTTATTATTTATTCAATCGTTGGCGGCTCATTAGTAGAGTCAAATCGTTGTAAAATCTAATGCCAAATCGTGTTTCACATCTTAATTCAAAAACTGCATACTAGTATTTCTAATATAATGTGACCAAGAATAATTATAAAAATTCAGATACTAATTTCACTTAATTATTTTTTAGTATGGTTTTTGCTTCATTACGAAATAACGATTTTTGTTGGTGTATGGATTGTTCGGGATTTTTATTTATTTTAATGTTTGAACATGAACATGGCGTTTTTTGTTCATCACCCGTAACGATGAGGGATGCACCGAATACTCGGTTTGTATCCGGAACTCGGCATACTCCGCTCATTTTTTTATACTCCAACTACCACGAAGGCCTAAGGCCTAAACACCCATTGGGTACCATGGAGTTATAAGGGGATACAGGGACTCTGGGAACACGTGTGCATGCAACATGCACACATTCTGGCTCCGCCTACGAGATCCGCCGGGTGGTACCTCCACGTTCGACAGTCAGAGACCGTCTACCACCTACGGACAATCACAACATCCATAGCCAAGAGAAAAATTTCTCCTGGGACCGGACTCGAACTCGCACAGCGCACGGCGACTGATCAGGAGACCGAAGAGTCTACTACTGCGGCCACCGCCGCTGCCTAAGTGCTTACCGAGTATCCGGTTTTTACCGGGTATTGGCCGAGTAATCCCTCGGTCTGAACGCAAGACACAAGCAACTTGTGTAAATTAAGGGATAACGTCTGTCAAACTTATACACTGATACACTTTTCCCAAGCCTTCCTGATATATACCCCAAAAAAATTACGCACCGTCAAAGAATTAGCCAAGGCTATAACATTTTTTGAATTATTTACCTGATTTAGATTATTTTTCAGTATGGTAGTGTTTACGGTATTTGCTTAGCTTACTTTTTATTTATACATACAATACATTCCATGGGAGCTGCTATCATAACAGTTGTACTGTAACCACATTGCATGTCTTCTTTGCAGTTTTTATTTGCTCTTTTTCCTTTCATACGAACACTCAAAAAACAGCAAAAAATATAAAACAATGTAAACAAAATTCAGCAAAAGTCAAAAAATAACGTTAATAACGAGTATTCCTAGCTTCTATTAAAAAGAACTTTACTCGAATGTACGTGAAAATAATTTTGATTTAGCCATTCCCCAAATATAATTGGTCACGCTACGACAGCCAGCAGTTTTGTGTTTATTTTGGTTAGACTCCTCTGAATGGCAGTTCGAAAACCAATAGGATTTGAATTTAGTGTTGGTGATGGCCAAGACATGGTTGCGACTCTATCAGGTACTCTTCCGAAATTTCTGCAACTTCGGGTCTCGCGTTGTCTACTTTCAACAAATAGCTAGGTTGACCTATGTTGACCATATGCCTTTACAAATGTGCTTTTCTTGTAATAGGAAGAATGAAAAAGTATGTTAAATATAAACAAAAACAAAAATGTAGTCTTAAAGTTTGGTTCCAATAGCAACACCAAAAACATATACCTAGCTATTCCTAATCATTTAACAAAACATTTGAAAATACCATAAGTACACTAACCTACGAAGCTACACTTGCCAAGAAATTGTCTTAGCCGAACAACTATAGTGAATCAGTTTTGCGAATAAAGAGCCTGTCAAAATGCAAACGTAATCTCAATATAACAGCACAGTACATCATTTAACCGAGTAGCTAATCGATTACTCGGCAGAGTAGCCGGTACTCGGTATTCGAATTTGACCGAGTACCCGGTACTCGGCGTTTTGAAAAAGTATTACTCGGTTCAGCCCTAGTCACGAATCCAGAATCCGAACACCAGAACTCGGTGATCTTCAAATAAAGAGCGATATACCAGTAAGACATGTGTTACGTTGCTTTTGTCAATCAACCTTTGTCAATCTATCTTTATAGCACACTAGACAAGATGCATAGAATAAACTAAGTACCATACTGAGCACTGAATTTAGTAGTTTTTTATCAATTTGATTTGGTATCGCACCTTGTCCAATAATATGTAATGATAACTCATGTATAGGATATATTTAAAAGTTAAGAAAAATTAGGTAAAGCATACAACTTGAGATTTCACTACTTCTCTGCTACTGCTCCTGTGTCTTTATTTTGTAATATTGTCTGTTTTGTATTTCTTTTAAAACACGTTAATCGCCATGAAACCCGACACTTGGGCTTCAAATCCTGTGTTCGATTGGACTCCGACACCAGTGACTTGACCTTCGTTAGTAGCGTTAAAGCCTGTAACCCATCGTTTCAGAGCACATGAACTTATATGGAAGTTTTTACACAGGGGCTTGGCGGGTAATATTAGTGAATGAGCCCGACAATGCTCATATATTTTTCTATCACTGAAGGAATTTTCTAACTATATGAATTTATAAAAATACTTTTTTTATATTTTAATGAAATAGTACTACTGGCTACTAATTATAAAGAATAATTACGAACATCAAAAAACATAACAAACAGTTGCTAGTTAAATAATTATGGACATCAAAAAAACATGACAAACAGTAGAACTTATGATATATATATCACAAGAGAATTTTGATTTAGGGCCCTTCTTCTGAGCGGCTTTCCTGCCTTCTTCAGTACTTATTCTCGCATAACATGCTACACATTTTCGTCGGTATTTTGAAGCAACTTTTTGTAAAACATGCTTGTGTGTTTTCATTTTTCAGCACATCCCTGACATCCACTTCATTGATTTGTAATATTCTCAGAGGAAGTTTCTGTCTAAAATCTGTAATTGACATTTTTGCCTTTGTCACAGTTTTGTATAATATGAAAGCGTTTACTAAAGCTGAGCCAAGTAATATTTCAAAGGCAAGTCCCCTATACCACTTTATGCCTTTACGCAAAGGCGAACAATACGACTTCGACTGATCTGATAGATCTATGAATGACTTACACGAGTTGCAGTCAGTAATAAGAGATGGGTTTTCTTTATCTGTTCCTCTTTGTGTACATTTAGTGGTTATGTCAGTGTGTATAGTGCTTAGACAAAGAGTATCACGTTTATCGTGCCATTTCAGAACAACCACCCCTGTATACCCCTGTATTACTTTCCGATGGGCAAATTTCCCCTTTATTTAATTTTTGGGCGTCTACATTTTTTTGTTGTTTTTTCAATTTTCCCTTAGAGAACTCACAATATGCGTCTCATGCTTTTGTAGCTCATGAACCTGTTAGAACTCGAAAAAGTGGCACTCGACCCATAAGTAGGGCTTCATTTTTAAAATACATTTTTCGGACATTTTTTCAAAACTAACGCTTGATAACAGCCGACATACCATATCCAGTGTAATGATATCCTAGAAAAAATAGGTTGGGCCTGGGGGCAGGATATTTTTCGCTTCATTAGGGCGATTAAGGTGTTAGCTGGAATCTAAAATTAACAAATTAACTGCTCATATAGTTTGCGTTGGGATACCACTCAATGTTTTAAACGGATTTCATATATACTAAGTGACATATAAATCCGAACACCCAGTTTAAATGGTTTTATTTTAATAAAAGTTGGTGAATGTATTTATCTTACTGTAAATAACAAGTGAAAAAATTTTCAGCCTTATCAGTTGGACATTCCGGTTTTTATACTGCTTTTTTTTAATTCACTAACGCTCTAAAAATGAATATTTCAGCCGCAGTAAAGAATCAACGTAGGCGGATTTTGGTTCTTGACATTCTTTACGATCGGTTACGATGCCTAGAGTACGGAGACCTGTACGAGTTCGTCAACTTAGTGAGTTTGATAGGGGCCGTATAGTGGGACTTCGGGAAGCTGGACTTTCTTTTCGGGGAATTGCAGTTAGAGTGCAAAGAAGTGTAGACACTGTGGTTAGGTGTTGTCAGGCATGGCTTCGAGAAGGCCGTACGCAAAGAGCAAGGGGCACTGGACGCCGCAGTAGAACAACAGACCGTGAAGATCGCCGCCTAAGATTATTGGCCTTAAGGGACCGTTTCTCCACTACCAGGTCCATTGCAAATGAATGGTTTGCAGAACACGGAAGACTTATTGGCATGCGAAGTGTTTACCGACGAATGAGAAGTTTTGGCTTGTTTTCATACCGGCCACACTGGGTCCTCTCTTTAACTCGAGAACACCGACGTAATCGCCTTGAGTGGTGCAGACAACGGTCACTCTGGGATCAGGAATGGAACAGTATTGTCTTTAGTGACGAGTCTCGATTTTGTTTAGGCATGCACGATGGTCGTGCCAGGGTTAGAAGGCGACGTGGTGAAAGGAGGAATCCCCAGTTATTTGTTGAAAGACATGTTCATCACACTGTTGGACTTGTGGTTTGGGGTGCTATAGCTCATGGTTCCAGGTCACCTTTAATCTTCATCAGAGGTAACATGAACGCGCAGCGTTATATCCACGAAGTTCTAGAACCCCATCTTTTACCCTATCTTGACACCCTGGCGGATCCAACTTTCCAACAAGATAATGCCCGACCACATGTTGCAAGAGTCACAATAGACTTCTTTCAACATAATGATGTCACATTGTTACCATGGCCACCAAGATCTCCCGACTTATCCCCAATTGAGCACGTGTGGGATATAATGGGTAGGAGTTTGCTCAATTTGCAACGTCCTTCTCCAGACTCTAGAAGCACTTCGAGAGGAGTTAGTGGTTGCCTAGAATGAGATACCACAGGAGGACATTGACCACCTGATCAGAAACATGCCTAGGCGCGATGGAGAATGCGTAGCACATCAGGGTGCATCCACACATTATTAAGGGTCAAAGGGCTTTAAAGCAGTGCAATCATTTTGAAATTTTTATCATTTACTTATTATGCTTCATTAAGTACTTATACAAAATTTTATTAAAATAAAACCATTTAAACTGGGTGTTCGGATTTATATGTCACTTAGTATATATGTACATCTATAATTTTGGGATCTTCCAAGATAAGAAAGAATTAGAAGATTCACATAGGTAGTTCATTTAGGGGAAAGGAGCTACAAAGACAATCAGTCACAACTTCTTTGTAAACACGCTGAGTGACGGAAGTGTTAATACAAAATGTTTTTTTCTGGTACACATCAAATTATTCCTCATTCATCAAAAAATAATCTAATGGAATCACGTTAAATGGTTTTTAGAATATTTACTCACGAGTTGTTTCATTATCTTTTGGAGATGAAATTTGGTTCAGCTAGGTCAGAAACAGTATTATGGTAGATATATCTACAGGGTGGGCCAGTGAAAACGAAATAAAATCAATATCTCATACGTCGCATTTGGAAGAAAAGTTGGCTCGGACTAGTCGAGTTTCATTTCTAGGGGGACTTATTAATTTTGTCACTTTCACCCCATCGCCGGGATGAAATCCAACCCTTATATCTTAAATAATAGCAGGGGTCATCTTATACCTCATTTTGAAGGTACTGGTGAGTACTGTATTAGCCTAAAATATAAAGTCGCTAGTCCTCAAAATAGTGGAGTGGTAGGATGTCAAAATTTAGCATTTGTGTATATTGAGTCACTTATAACTCAGCAACTAATGCTCAAAACGTCATAATATATAACAATATTTTTCTTTGGAAGGTTCTATCCGAAAAATGTAATAAAATATGGTCATTCACTTCAAAAAAATTTACTGGACTTGGAATTTTTTTTTTTTTAGTTGAATATTCCATACTTTATCTTTGTGATGAAACGTTTAGTGATAGGAAAAACTTAGAGGCATATTATTTTTCGAAAATGGATGCAACCACAAACTTATCTGTTAAACGTCAAAACAGACGTCAAAAGCTATCAAAAACGCCTTCTGCTGGCTCGCTCATTTTCAAAAAATGACATTCTAGAGTATAGAAAATCCTTGCTGGCGAAAGAAGCCTAGCTCCACCAAAAAATTAGTACGTATTTAGATGCAGCATCTCAGTGTAATCCTTATCTGACAGTATCTTCTTGAATCACTTATCTACTATTTCCGAAGACGTTGTGTAATGCTAACGAAATTAGAATCGTAATGAATAGGAGATCGAAAATGATGGCCATGTAGGAACGCAAATGAACGTCGGACTAAATTATAATTATGTGATGATTATACATGTCACTTCGCACTGTCGATAAAAATATTTTACCTTTCCGAATAAGTTATCTCTTGCTTTAACTTCTAGTCATCAACAATAAATTAATATAATAATGAAACATCCAGCACGCATATCAGTCCAAGAGATCAATAGGCCCCGAAGATAGGTTCTTGCGTCTAGAAAACGCGCTGCACAAGAAAACGAACTTATGAGGGTAATATAATTCAATGCCCAACTAGACT